GAGAAGGCTCCCCAAGGAGACTTTTTAGCTCATTGCCAGCTGCTTGGTTTATTTTTAGTCCCCCCCCCACCCCTCTCTTCTCCTCCCCCCAAACTCCTGCTGAGTTTTTGCCTTTTAAAAACTGGCCGGGGGCCAAAAGCTCCATCAATGTTCCTGATTTCACCATCTGGGAGAGTTTTGATGGGGAGGCACCGACGGGGTAGGCAGGGGGAGTGGGTGGGTGGGTGGGGGAGCCATTTGGGGAGTCCCTCTCCCTGCGCTGAAGCCCCCTTCCCACTAATGCTTCAGCCCAGACACACACACACACACACACACACACCCCATTCACAGGAAGCCACTGGCTGCCCTGCCTCGAAGCGCAATTATCCTGGAAGCGCAATTATTCTCAAATTGGTGTTTGCAAGGAATCCAGTAATGGGCAAAAGGCCCGGCTGGTCCCCTCTGATGAAAGGCATAAAGGGCCTTCAGGAAGGGGGGGGGAGGAGGCTGCAACTTGTGCAAATCTCCTTTACGCCCAGTTTGCAATTCTTTTCTCTCCTGGGACAGCGAGCTGCTGGAAGATCTGGAGAGGAACACGAGTGCCCACGCAATTGCCGACTGCTTTGTGCAAAGGGTAAGTGTCTGACTTCCTCTCCTCCTCCTCCTCCTCCTCCTCATCCCCTCCCCTCCTCTTCCCTCGCTCCTTCTCCTCTTTCTCCCCCTTTCCTCCTCCACTTCCCCTTCTCTCCTCCTCCTCTTCTCCTTTTCCTCCTCTTTCCCTCTTCCTCCTCTTCCCCTTCTCTCCTCCTCCCTTTCCTCCTCCTTCTCCGCCTCCTTCCTCCTTTCCCCTCCTCCCCCTCTTCATCTTCCTCCTCCTCATGTTTTCATCCCATCTGTAATAATTGCAATCAGAGTGTCACAACCTCCGTTAAGATGGAAACGCCCAGAATTTCCCAGCCGCTATGCGATGCGTGGACTTTACTTCCCAGAATTCCCCAGGAACAATACGGTGTGTGGACTTTGCCTCCCAGAATTCCCCAACGCCGTGTGGATTTCAGCCCTGTGAATTCCCAAGCCGGGCTGCGTGGACTTCACCTCCCTCCCAGAATTCCCCAATCACCACGGCAGGGCTGGCTGGAGAATTCTGGGTGATGAAGTCCCTACATCATAAAGTTGCTGAAATTGAGGAATGCTGGTTTAGACCGTCTTGGGACCCCCGAGATCCATTGGGGTCCTCATCTGCTGGGCAAAGCTGAACTAATCTGTGTTCCAATTTTGGGGCACCCCGCAGATGTTGCTCTGACTTTGCAGATGTTCCAATAAAAAAGGCAGGAGGTGACTTCTGCTCAGAGACTGACACGGGAGTCGGTCCTGTGCAGATGGAGATTTGGGGTTTCCTGGAATTAAACATGGTTAGTGGGATTTTTGGGGGGGGGAGGGGAGATCCAGCCGCTCTCTCCCTGTCGCTTCTGGATCAAAACTCCTGCCTGGCCAGGGCAGATGCTGGGATTTGAGAAGAGGGGCGAAACCCTCGTCAACGTGGCCTTCCTAATAGCAGGCAGAGGAACCGGCTTCCCCTTGTGGACTGCAATGCATCTAATGTGGTTTCGTTTAATTTTGCAGAGTGAAGAATTTGATATCTACACTTTGTACTGCATGAACTACCCCAAGTAAGTACACAGGGCTTTACAAATCAATGACGCACGGATCTCCTGCTTTCCCGTGCGATTTTCTTTTTCTTTTTTTTAATTTTTTTTTATTATTTTTCATTTAAAAAACACAAACATAAATCTTTTATCACAATATCAACCAAAGAGAATAAAGCTAAACAAAACATTCACAGACGTGTCCGGTGTACCCCTCCCGCACCAGCCTCTTCCACTTACCACTCCTTCCTCCTCTCATTCTACCACCACTCCTCCTTCCTCCCTCTTTCCTACCTCCCTTCCTCACTCAACCATCCCGTCCTATGCAGTTGGGGTATCACCGGACACCTCCTTAAAAAAAAAAATCATACATATAAATCTATAATACAAACCTACCCTTTTCCCCCCTCCGCCCCCCCAGGACTTCCCAAAGCTAATCTAGGAAGTAAACACAAAATAATCAAAATCTATTCACAATTACTCCATATTACTACACACTAGTATAAACTTGCTATGACTCTAAAATAACATTAAGATACATACAAAATTTTTTTTAAAAAAAAACATCTTTTGTTAATCAAAAGCTACATAGTAATTTTTCAATTCATACTTTCTCTGAATATAATCTATCCATCTTCTCCACATTGAGATAAATTTTTCCTGAGAATGATCCTTCAGGTATCCCGTGCGATTTTCAGCACCATCTGGGTTTATTTTTCCCCATCCTCTAGTCCAGGAGCGTCCAAACGTGGCCACTTTAAGACCTGCGGACTTCAGCAGGACTGGCTGGGGAATTCTGGGAGTTGAAGTCCTCAGGTTTTAAAGTGGCCGAGTTTGGAGATCCCCAGCTCTAGTCCCTCTAGCAGTATTTCTCAACCCTTCTCGTTTTAAAAGTTTGGACTACAACTCCCAGGATGCCCCAGCCAGCCAGGCAAAGTTATCAATGTGCATCTCTCCTCTTTCCTCTCCTCTCCCCATTACCAGCTCCGTCTCGGTGCTCCGGCAGTGCATGGAGGATGACTCCCTGGCGAAATTCTTCCGGGAGAGGCAGGCCACTCTCTCGCACTCGCTGCCATTGGAGACCTACCTTCTCAAGCCGGTCCAGCGAATTCTGAAGTACCATCTGCTGCTGCAGGTGAGTGGTGCTGCTTCGGGCTCTTTGGCACTCTCCGAGCTGAGTTGGTTTTCTTACAGACATTTCATGACCCAACTTGGTAATATCATCTGTTATTTCTGAGGATGGGATTTGCTCCCTGTTTCTATACAATATCTTGCCTTGCAGTCTATGCAGCTGATACCCGGGTAAGCAGGGATTAATACCAGACAAACAAACAATCAACAGAATAGAATAGAATAGAATAGAATAGAATAGAATAGAATAGAATAGAGAAGAATAGAATAGAATAGAATAGAATAGAATAGAATAGAATAGAATAGAATAGAATAGAATAGAGAAGAATAGAATAGAATAGAATAGAATAGAATAGAATAGAATAGAATAGAATAGAATAGAATAGAATAGAATAGAATAGAATAATAGAATAGAATAGAATAGAATAGAAGGAATGAAGAATAGAATAGAATAGAATAGAATAGAATAGAATAGAATAGAAGGAATGAAGAATAGAATAGAATAGAATAGAATAGAAGGAATGAAGAATAGAATAGAATAGAATAGAATAGAATTAGAATAGAGCTGTTTCTCAGATTCCCACTGAATGAACGTCTCTCGTCTCTGACTCCCCCTCCCCAAATCTGGTTTCTCTACCCAGGAACTGGCCAAACATTACGACAAGAGCAGTCCTGGCTACGACTCGGTGGAAGAGGCGAGCATCACCATGACGGCCGTGGCTTGGTACATCAATGACATGAAGCGGAAACAGGAACATGCCAGCCGGCTGCAGGTACGGGGGGGGGCTTCCTGGCAACGGAAAAGAATCCGTCCTTTGGGATTTGGGAAGGGCCCGCTCACCTGGGCGGCTTTAGCCCATCTGCCAGGGGGAGCAAATTGGCATCCCGTGCTCAAGTCAGAACTCCTGGAGGGGAGTGGGAACCATTCATGTCTTTGTGGGGTCCTTGGGGGGTTTTCTGGCAGACGTTTCATGATCCAGCTAAGTGGCATCATCAGTGCTAGGAGGGAGGGGGGTTTGTGGAGAGGAGGAGAGGGAGAAGGGAGGAGGAGACATCTCAGGACCCAACTAGGTGGCGTCATCAGTGCTAGGAGGAAAGGGGGGTTGCTGTCTGCGAGTAAGCTACTTGTAAATAAACAGGGAACATGGACCATAAAGCCTCCCCAAATCCATGTTGACCCCTTTGTAAGCTGAAATCTCCCCGCCTCTTTGCCCCTTCTAGGAGATCCAGGGATTGCTGGCTGGCTGGACTGGTCCAGAGCTGGGGGCCTTTGGGGAGCTGATCCTGGAGGGTCAGTTCCGGGTGCCGCGAGCCCGCAAGGAGAGGGTCTTCTTCCTTCTCAGCAAGGTCCTGCTGATCGCTAAGCGGCGCGGAGAGACCCTCGTCTACAAGAGCCACATCTTTGTAAGGGGGACCAGGGATTTGGGGGAGGAGGGGATTGGGACCAGTTAGCCCTGTGCTTCTCAGTCTTGGCAATTTTAAACTGGGTGGACTTCAACCCCCAGAATTCCCCAGCCAATCATGCTGGCTGGGGAATTCTGGGAGGCGAAGCCCATGCAGCTTAAAGCTGCGTGCTGGCTGGGGAATTCTGGGAGTTGAAGTTCTCAAAAGTTCCTGAGGCTGAGTTAGATTTTCGGGGCATCCTTTCCAGTGAGGTTCCCCTCTGACTTTACAGTGCTGCAACCTGGCGCTCCAGGAGAACACCAAGGACCCCCTCAGCTTCAAAATCTCCGACCTTTCCATTCCCAAACAGCAGCACACCGTCCAGGTGAGGCAACCGGCTCCTGCAGCAGCTGATTCGGGAATCCTTACAAGGCCGTGAACCTTAAAAAGACGGTTCCCCACAGAAAGTCTGGCCTCAGATGTCAGTCAAATGGGTGTAGAATGCCTTTCTTCCTGGGAAATCAGAGGGCGGGGAAAATTCAGGTTTTTCCTCACGGGCAGCTCCCAGGACGCTGCAGCCGTCGTAAACACGAACCATTTGCCAAACCTCTGAATTTTGATCCCTGGGAAGCTGTGACGGTCGTAAGTCCCTTTTTTCAGTGCCGTCGTTACCTTGAAGGGTCATTAAACGAATCATTATAAGTCGAGGACTACCTGTAGATCTTTCTGGAATCCTGGGCTGTAGAAATGCCCTCCACCCCCTCCTTTCTCCACTGTTCCAGGTGAGGAACCAGGAAGAAAAACGACTTTGGATTCATTATCTGAAACGTTTGATTGTAGAGAATCACCCGGCATCCATTCCCCAGAAGGTACTTGGGCTCTTGATGCAGAGGGAAAGCTTGTATGGATAGTCCTCAACTTACAACCATTATTTGGGATTGGAAATCTGGCTGTAAGTCATTGCGCTTACAAGTCAAGGCAGCCACGTGGTCGGACCTGTTTTTTCAGCAGTTTTCATGGCATATTAAGCATATGGCGTAGTCATTAACTGGAACCCAAAACAGGGTCATGTGATGGGGCTGCATGAGATTTTAGGATGGCTGGAAGAGCCTCACAGGCCGTAAATCACCCACTCCAAGGTTGTTGTAATTCGGAATAGTCGTAAAACAATCAGTCATAAGTCGGGGACTACCAGGGTTTTTCAAACTTGGCCACTTTAAGATGCGTGGACTTCAACTCCCAGAATTCTTACTCCTGGATGCTTTCTTTCCCTTTCCAGGCCAAGCAAGTCCTCTTGGAGAACAGCTTCCAGGGTAAGATTGGTGGTGGTGGGGGTTCGCCGGGCTCCGACCCCATTCCCAGAACGTCGCTCCAGCCACCTACTCCGGAGTGGGAGGGCATTTGGCCACTCGCTGCCCGAGTGACGGGGTTCTCCACCTCTCGCCAGGCTCCCCAGATGTGGTCTTCAGCCCCGAGACCCCCAAGAAGCCCCTGCCTTCTCCTCAGCTGGACGAGTCCAGGGCCTGCATTCGGGGTCGGCGGCAATCAGGTGAGAGAGGGGACCAGGGATCGGGCTGTGATGGGCAGGCTCTATTATGGTTGAATATTGTAAATATTGAGGAATACCTGTTAAATCGGGCAAACCATTTGCATCGTGTCGTTATTTCAGGAGGTGGGCTTAAAGTGGAGCTGGCTGTCCTAGGACCATCCTCACCGGGGAGGGGAGGTCAGGATTCGAACTCAGACCTTTCTCTTGCAGAGCCGCCCGAGTCCATGTACAGTCCCGAGAGAGTCCGGCGGAGCTGCCCCATTTTACAGCTGGAGAAAAGCGGCTCTTATCGCCGGGGCCGCCGGCGGTCAGGTGAGCTTACCTGGAGAAAGGGGCGTGGCTGCACCAGGTGGGTGGGACTCAAGCGAGCATCCTCGGGCGGACCAGCCGTTCCCAAAGTGTGATGCGTGTTCTGCAGAAGGACACCAGGGGGCGCCAGCGGGCCGTGAGAGACCTGCTCATCTTCCATAGTCAGAAGTCCCGATTGGTCACTTAGAATAAAGCCGGGGCAGCCGGTCAGTTGCGTGAGGCTACCAAATGGGCCTCCGAGCGGAAGCTGATCCACATAGCGTCTGGCTGATCCGGATAGCGTCACTGGAGAAGCATCAGCCTGGCCTTTTTGGGTGGTGTTTCTCAACACTGGCTGAGGAATTCTAGGAGTTGAAGTCCACCCATCTTCAAGCAGCCAGGGATGAAAAACGCTGCCTTAGATCAGGGGTCTTCAAACTTGGCCCTTTTATGACTTGTGGACTTCAGCTCCCAGAATTCCTCAGCCAGGCAGTGCCTGGCTGAGGAATTCTGGAAGTTGAAGTCCACAAGTCATAAAAGAGCCAGGTTTGAAGACCCCTGCCTTAGATACTATACAGTTAATCCTCAATTTACAGCCATTTCTTTAGCAGATATTCAAAGTTACAATGTCGCTGAAAAAAGCCACTTATGACCGATCCTCACCCTTATGTCCATTGCAGCGTCAGGTGATCGCCACTGGCGACCTCCTCCGCCAGCTTCCCAATGGGGAAGCCAGATTTGCTGAATGACCCAATTCCCTTAAGAACGGAAATCTGAGTGCAATTCACTTAACGACCGCCTAGCTTAGCAATGGCGATTCTGGTCCCAATCGTTGTCATAACTTGAGGACTAACTGTAGTTACAATACCCATTTTTCCCTACCGAGCCGATGCTGCCTTAACAATTCAGAAAGGTTTTATTCTTTTATAAAACAAATATTCTTTAACGCAAATTTAGAGACAAGTTGATTTAACCCTAACCCTGATGCTAACCATCATACTAACTCTAACCTTGTTACCCCCTTACAGAACCAGCCAAGGAATCTCAGCTCATATTTCATCCATCGAGTAAGACCTTTTCTCCCCCCCACTTAATTCTGGGTGGTTATTTGGGGTGGGGGAGTTTGCTGTCAGGTCCCCACGTTGTTGGCGTTTTGCATAGTGTCGGTAAAGTCACACACCCAGGACTCCTGTCACATGGCTTTGCGGCCTGAATTGTGTCCTCTCGTCTAATGTTGTCCAGGCAGTCCTTGACTTAACAACAGTTCATTTAGCGACCATTCAAAGTTACGACGGCGCTGAAAAAAAGGACCTAGGACCATTTTTCAGAGTTACAATCTTTGCAGCATCGCCGTGGTTCCATAATCAAAATTCGAGCGCCTGGCAACTGGTTTATACTTATGACCGTTTGCCGTCTCCTGCGTCACGTGATCCCCTTTTGCGACCTTCTGTCAATGGGGAAGACAGACTCACTCAACTGCAGTGATTCACTTACCAACTGCAGCAAGGAAAGTCATAAAATGAGGCAGATCTCACTCAACAAATGTCTCGCTTAACGACGGAAACGTTGGGCTCAACTGTGGTCGTACGTCGAGGACTACCTATAAAAGGCTTCGCACATACAGATAGTCCCCGACTTACAGCCGCAGCTGCACCCGGAACTTCTGTCGCTAAGCGATGCAGCTGTTGAGGGAGTCGCGTCCTCTCCCGCTGCAGCCCTTAAGTAAATGACCTGGTCCTCAAACAAGTCCAGCCTCCTCCACTGGCTCCACTTATCGGAATCCAGGGAAGGTCACAAATGGAGATCAGACGACCCCGGGACACTGCAGCCGTTGTAGAGACAGGCCGGTTGCTGACTGCCTGGATTTTGAAGGCCTAACTGCCGTGGTCACAAGTGCGAGGACCGGCCATAAGTCGTTTTTCCTTTGCTGAACTGTGAACGGTCGTTAAACAGATGGTCTTAAACTGAGGACCACCTCTTTCTTCCAAAAGCCAGGTTAGAAGAGGTAAAAAGGAAGCGGGCCGTCCTGTGGCCTGCTAGAGCAGGGATAGGCCACCTTGGCTCTTTTATGACTCGTGGACTTCAACTCCCAGAATTCCTGAGCCAGCATGGAAACCTCTCCCTTTCCCCTCAGCATGGCTGGCTCAGGAATTCTGGGAGTTGAAGTCCATGAGTCATAAAAGAGCCAAGGTTGCCTACTTCTGGCCTAGGCCTAGGCCGCTTTATGACTCGTGGACTTCAACTCCCAGAATCCCTGAGCCAGCATGGCTCTGCTTGGAAACCTCTCCCTTTCCCCTCAGCATGGCTGGCTCAGGAATTCTGGGAGTGGAAGTCCACGAGTCATAAAAGAGCCAAGGTTGCCTACTTCTGGCCTAGGCCTAGGCCGCTTTATGACTCGTGGATTTCAACTCCCAGAATTCCTGAGCCAGCCTGGCTCAGCTTGGAAACCTCTCCCTTTCCCCTCAGCATGGCTGGCTCAGGAATTCTGGGAGTGGAAGTCCACGAGTCATAAAAGAGCCAAGGTTGCCTACCTCTGGCCTAGGCCTAGGCCGCTTTATGACTCGTGGATTTCAACTCCCAGAATTCCTGAGCCAGCATGGCTCAGCTTGGAAACCTCTCCCTTTCCCCTCAGCATGGCTGGCTCAGGAATTCTGGGAGTTGGAGTCCATGAGTCATAAAAGGGCCAAGGTGGCCTACCCCTGTGCTAGAGGAACAGGATGGCCTCTTCCTGGCACGGAAATGTTGGGGACTTTGCCCCAACAGCCAGGACCTCCTCCAGGTCTGCTCAGCTCTCGTTTCGTGACTCATTCCCAAAATATATATATATATCTATGTTTTTGAGATTAAGAACGGATCTGTGATGGTGCAGCCCACTTTGTTGCCTACAACTCTGGAGTGCCATGATTTTCCAGAGAATTATAAACCCCTGGTGATCTAGTGAATTGGGCTGCAACTCGTAAAAAACTCTGCCAAAGTGGCATTGCTCCAACAGATTGATGCAACAATTTCCTTCATCCGATACTGAATTTCCCACGAAAAATGAAACGCCTCTGATGTGAATTTTCTCTCTCTCTCTCTCTCTCTCTCTCTTTCCTTCTCTTTTCTCTCCTGTCTTCGTCTTTTCCCTGCTGGGACCTTTCCAGATGTGGCCAGGTTAAAGGTGAGTTTCCCAGGTGTGACCTATGGCTGTTCCTGGGGGGGGGACATTTCTTGTAGGAAGATGTTTGATTTTATTCATTTTACATTTATCTATTTATATGTTTATATTTTTCCTTTTCCTTTCCTCCGTTTTGTCCCGAGAAACTAGCCTTCCAGAAATTGGTTCACATGAGGGAATAGAAAGCAATGTAGATAACGATATATTTTTTTTAAATGGATGTTTATAATAGAATAAAACATGGCAATTCCAAAGATGAGCAGTTGAACTTCTAGCAAACAGGGAAGACCACGGTGACCACTTAATACCTTGATTTAGTTCTAAGTTCAGCGGCTTAGACCTGAGAAGAAGAAGCAGGAGAAGACAAAAGAATAAGGACCGAGCCTAGGCTATTGTAAAAATCATGGAATGAGGCGAGGGAATTACACCGTAAAATTTTATCCTCTTTTCTCAGAGGTTACTATGTAACTGCGAGTGTATCGCTTTGTGACTACGTAGGGATTCTAGGCTGATGCCTCTTTTCACTCCGCCCCCCTGGCTCTGCCATTCCTTCTCCTACACCAAGGGTCTGCAACCTTGGCAACTTTAAGACTTGTGGACTTCAGCTCCCAGAATGGCTGAGGAATTCTGGGAGCTGAAGTCCACAAGTCTTAAAGTTGTCAAGGTTGCAGACCCCTGTCCTACACCCTCCTTCTTTGCAGCACGCGGACAGTGAGGGAGACCTCTTCCCCGCCAGCGAGCCCCTCCACTCCTCCAGCAGCTCCTGCACGCTGGCCTCAGCCAAACTGGAGGAGGATGCCGAACCCTCGGACCTGGAAGCAGAGGAGGCCGAATTCTCCCTGGCACAAGACCCTCTCACCACGAACCTCTCCATCACCGAGGAGAT